CTCCCCTCCCGCGCTAGCCTAAGGGCCACCTTAGCAAAGCGCATCCCAGGCTGCATAGCCGCACTACCCTACCCAACCATACCACACATAAACATGACACTACCCCCGGGGTTTACACAGACGAGCCGGCGAAGCAAGAAGAGCGCCAGAAGAAAGGGCCCTAGCCGGCGGGGCCCAGCCAGGACAAAAGGAGGTCCCACAAAGCGCCTACACCGGCCGCATTTGCGGTCGGGGTAGACGACGGATGGGGCCCACCTACGAAGGCTGTCCAGGCCTACACGAGATGAGGCAGGATAAAGAGGGATAAACCCCTCGATCCCAAATCATTGAGGCCAATTTCTAGCCATGGAATAATGGCGGTCAGTCTGACATAGCTCAAAAAAATAGAAAATATTGCAGAAAAGTGACAATTTCTTAAAAAAATATGAATTTTGTTCCATCACTTTGGAACACACTGTATATTATCTTAAAGTTTGTATACTTCCTTGATAGAGACCTTCGCTTATCATAGACAGAATTAAGAGTAATTACCAAAGCAAAGTTGTGGATCTTCGTAGCGATATCCTTAAGACCCTGCGGCCCGTGGTACACAGCGAACATTGCCGCCATATTCGCCAACAGCGCCTGCGCCGTGCAGATGTTGCTGGTAGCTTTGTCCCTCCTGATGTGCTGCTCTCTGGTCTGCAACGCCAAACGGTATCCATCCCTTCCAGCGGCGTCGCGGGTAACTCCTATCATCCTTCCTGGCATCAACCTCACAAGGGACTGGCTGCAGGCGAAGAAACCCGCGTGGGGTCCGCCGTAGCCTAGGGGCACTCCCAAGCGTTGGCTGGTGCCCACGGCGATGTCGGCACCGAATTCACTAGGAGGTCGTAGCAGTGTTAAGCTTAACAGGTCCGTGGCGCAGCATACTAGGGTACCTGGAAAGGTAACAATTCTAAGAGACGGTTTCAAAGCAACAGTTCAAAATAATGATATCAAAACAACAGTTCCAAGAAACTGTACTAAAACCATGGTTCCAAGGAACGATCCAAAGTAGCAGTTCCAAGGAACACGTAACAATTTTTTAATTATTTTTTCCAATACATTACCATGCGAATGGGCTTGTTCGGCGACCCCGCTGAAATCGTGAACATTGCCTTCAGTGTCTGGATACTGGACCAGAACTCCGGCATATTCTCTGCTGGAGAAGTCCACCTCGAAGACGTCGTTAACTTCCACGGTCAGTCCCAACGACTGACACCTAGTCTGAACCACCGATATTGTCTGCGGATGTAATAAATTCGACACTAGAAGCTTGTTTCTCTTATTTTGTCTGTAGCACAGAGACAGGGCTTCCGCAGCGGCTGTTCCTTCGTCCAGGAGGGAGGCGTTGGCCACTTCCAAGCCTGTCAGCTCGGTGACCACGGTCTGGTAGTTGAGGAGGCCCTCCAAGCGTCCTTGCGCTACCTAATTCGCCAAAGAAATGAAATAAGTACTATCGAAAGCGAGTTTGTATTATAATTATAATTTGCAATTTTCCTTTTAACCTGACATAAAACTCTACAAGGTAAGCTTTTTTTTATCAGTTACTCCATCTACTCAAATCAGACACAGACAATATAGCGTATCGCTACAGACTGCTACTTAAATGCTGGAAATTGGCAACCCGAAATGGAAGCAGGGTCTCCTTAGCCGGCTTACAGCTATAAAATTTAGCGTGGTAACTCTTCTACTTGCTAATAGGCGGCAGTTCCAGCGGTGGCTTTGTTGCCAAATAATAACTGCTAAATAAATTTAATGCTTTCAATTATGTAATTAAAGAGATATGGAACTTATCTTGTGTTTGGAAATCACATTTGCCTTAAATGTTAAATAAAATAAATCAAGTTAGAATTAAAACTATGAATTTACCTAATTAATTATTTATTTTATATCACCTTGGAATGGGAAAATTCAAAAACTCGAAAGTAATGTTTTTAGATTTGTGCGTCGACTTCCAATATGGTACGATATCAAAACCTATGTTTAAAAAAATTGCATTATACAGATTGTGTATCCTTAGATGGGTACTGCCTCTTATTGTTGATTTCTTTAGATAGGTAAATAATTATTTATTGACACAAGTGTTGCATATTATGGATGTCATTGGTAGTGCCCATATTTGTGACACAAGGTGTTCAAAAAAATTAACACAATGTAAAATTGCTGGAACCTCAAGGAGTAGTTGAATACGAAATTTATTTAAAAAAAAACAACAAATCATCAATCAATACAGAGATAAGATAATGCGTTCGCTACTGCTGTTGCAATTTTTAACTAACTAACTTTTTTGTTTTTCGACATACTGACTTCGGACCGTTTCCATTCAACGCAGAACGGACAATCAGAACCAGAGTAGTGGGGAGATTTTTTTAATTATTTTTTCAATTCAACGCACCGTTTCCGAATTATAAGACCTTTTTTACTGTATCACCTCACACACCTCTTCTTTCCGAAATTTATTTTCCACATACGGACTTCGGACCTTTTCCATTCAACGCAGAACTGTCATACAGAACCAGGGGTGTGGGGAGATTTTTTCAATTATTTTTTCGATTTAACGCACCGTTTCCGAGTTATACGGCCTTTTTACTATAACACGACATACCTCTTGTTTCCAGAATTTATTTTCGACATACGGACTTCGGACCTTTTGCATTCAACGCAGAAGGAACATACAGAACCCGGGAGGGAGGGGTTGACATTTTTCAATTATTTTTTCGATTCAACGCACCGTTTCCGAGTTATAAACACTTTTTTATCCTATGACGTCACACACCGTTGGTCCCGATTTTTTTTTTGACATGCGGGTTTTGACGTTTTTCACTCGTTCACCATGGGAGATTTATTTGTTCACCATGGGAGATTTTTTGATACTTAAGAGTCTAAGCAAATACTTTTTTTTTTTCTTTCATATATTGTGACACCCCGCTCTGCGTCACCCACCGAGTGCTCTACTCAGAACCAAGGGGAAATTTGTTTATATTTCCAGCCATTTCCGAGTTACGAGCAAAAACCATTTTTTTTTCTTATACTGTGTGACATCATAGATCGATAACGAAGGCTTAACAAGGCCACGCGCTCTACCCCACGTTCCCTCCCTAGGTGTCCTGAAATTGCTGGGGAGACTCCTGAAGGCAGCAGAGAGAGAGAGAGAGAGATAAGCTCTCTATGAGGACAGAGTCACTCTATCTCTATCGCACACTATAACTCTATCTCTCTCGCACACAATCAGACAAAAACGACAGAAACGAACCTTCTTTTAAAAATACATGGGATTTATCATTATTAGAATAACCCATTTTAATTTAAAAAATTAAAAAAATTACAATGGGTTATTCTGATGACGAAAAATAAAACATAATTAACTGTATTATTCAAATAACAATAATGTGCAAAAGTTCTTCAGGAATATTGGCAAATTTATTTTGGAGGAAGAATCCCGTCAACGAACACTAAAAAATATTATTAGAAACCTTAGGTGGCCAGAAAACAGCCCCGATCTCATTGTCAGTCCTTTAGACATTTTTTTTTTACCTGAAAATTTGCAAGTATTGAAAAAAAAATACAGGACGAAATGCTTGATAATTTTGAATTTGTTTTTGAAGCAATTAATAGTAAATTGAAACATATTTTCAACTGTATCATCACAATCACTTGCATGTTGATTTGTAAAAATTGTAGGTATATTAATGTTATTTCGTTTTTAGTTATTCTCCTTATGTTGTTGTAAAGGTTAGTTATAAAAAGCGTTGTTTGTTATTTTCATAAGGATGAATTTTAATTTTTTTTAATGATTTTTTTTATTTTAAACATATATATTTTATGCCAGTAAATTTTGATGTCAAATGAAATAAAGGAAAAGTCGTACATTTGTATTTAAAGTTTCTTTCTATCTTTAATTATTAAACCTATAAGTGGATGTCAAAATACAAAAAAAAACCTGTACCTACATTCCGCGACGTACTAATAACCCACCTTGTATATTAAATAAATTTATCGTCATCATCAAATATTAAAAAAATTATATTACAAGCTGTTTAAAATATTATTACGAATTTTGTTTATTTGGAAATATATTTTCTGCAGTATTTCAATACCAAAAAATGAAAATAGTAGGTAGCTAATTAACGAAATTATGATTAAATAACTTAATTGTAACACCACTGCAGAATATCATATGATACATACATAGATATTCGTTGATTCTTTAAAAACATTTTTATCAATACCTACATCATACATTGAAGTAAATACAGTAACGCAAAAAACAGATATTGATAAAAAAGTGTACAAAAGAAATCCGTAAGTACGCCTGGCAACATTACCAAAGTCTTGTTTATATGTTGCTAGGATACACTTAGGTATGCGGGCCGCTGTATTTGATTCTTCCTAAAATTCTGCTGGTGGTGTACTCTACCGGCAATTCGGAAATTTAAAACTGCTGGCCTATTCCAGGAGCGGTCTCTGGCGATAGCTATTTTGTCTGTGAATCAGACTATAAAATACCTCTAATACATATCTACCTCCGGTTGATAGGGTGTGTAGTTGGTGGTCCATCCGGGATTTTCGAAAATATTCCTCATGATGGTATGGGGTACGCAACAGTTGTGGTAGCCCATTCCGATGTACGACCTCCATATTTTATTACGTTCCGCTATTTTGCTTATTCGGTTGATCAACTCATATTCGCCTATTAAGAAATAAGGAAATGATAAGAATTGCATAACTGATACGCGAGACCCCCAGCCAATTAATAAAAAATATTTGTTGATCCGCAACGTACAATTTGTTATCCTATTGCAAATATTAAGGATTTCACACGCTGCTTATGTCAATCGAAGGCTAAATTTGTTAGGTACTTGAAGAGTGAACGGAAATAGTTTTTTATTATACTTCTTTGAAAACACCTTATTTTCCTCTGTAACACCATCAAATTTCGAGTCAATATCTTTAAAACTCTTTGAAATAATTAATAAAAATAAATAAAAAATTAATATCTAAACACCCTGTATCTCGGAAACGAAGCATATTTCGACCTAAGTTTATATGAACTTTTTTTCACATAACAACTTCGGAAACCACCCCCTGAAATATTTCGCGCTTATTTATAAACACTCTATATAGAAGAATCCATACAGAGAAAAATTGAAATATCACGAAAACTGTTTAACCTTTCTCACTCTTAACTGTGTCATTCGTTTGAGAAAATCAAAACATTTGCGAAGAGTCTGCTTCAATAACTGAAGTTTCACAAATTGAAACTCCAAAAGGATTAAACCTGTGCAATAATACGAATTGTTCAATAAGCATAACCATTAATAATAACAAGGAACAACTTAAAACATTATTAGTTGGAGTTGTTATTATTAATAGTAGTTAGTTAGTTAATTTTCAATATTCTTACTCTACATGTTTTTTTATTCCTATAACTGTTATGAAAATTAAAATGTTCCAAGTTTCTTTCGTATGTCATTTTTATGTTATATTTTGTTTTTATGTTTTAATATAATAAAATTAAATTTGTAATAATGTTTTAATATTGACGCAACAACTTATTGAGTTATGTATGACCAAGTGATGGTAATAGTTAATAATAATAAATATTTTATTGTAACGCGTTGTGGTAATAGTTTAAATAACTAGATGCATTTCACAGGGTTTAACGACACTTACAGTGTACGATAATTCAATAAACAAAGAAATCTAAATAAAAAATTTAGATAAACTTGGAACGAATACACTGAAGATGAATTTTTCGAGACAAAACGTCTGAATCTGGTTCGGGCTGAGGCAGTACAGTATTGGGGGTCATAAAGGAGCTAATATTTTTAACAATCTTTCGATTCGTATTAAAAACAATAATGAAAAAATATCAAATAGGTACGAAACTTAAATTGCATCTGCTGTAAACAATGTGTTTTTAGTCCGCAGAATTCTACAACTAAAATTGTTATATTTTAATTTTCTGGAAGGCATATTTATTGAATTAGGTTTAGGTTCCTTCTCGTAACTGTAATTTTTGCAATCATATACCTACTGACTTTTCTTAAACGTTCATTATGTGGTATAAGAATGAAGTATTTTTGAATTTTAAATTTAGAATTATCCAAAATATACTTACTAACAGGTTCTTCAATGTCAAGTTGTTTTGGCAAACTAATTTTTTTCGGTACAGCCTTATCGGTTAACTCATCCAAACTCTGTAAAATAAATATATTCTTAAAAAAGCATATTGAAGAAATGAAAACAGATTTAAAAAAATGAAGGCGACTGATATTGCTTTTATTCTTTCTTATTCCTTAATTTTATCAGGAATAAGTTTGCTTTTCAGATCAACTTTAAAAAACTTGTACCACAAGTAAAATTAAAATACCTGATATACTAAAAAAGTAACAGAATATTAAAAAATATAACTTACCTTAAACCCTAGTGTATCTAGCATAGTGATAATATCACTATCTCTAGGGCCGATATGTCTAGGAGGAAATTCATCCTTATGGGGAAATAGAGGACCTTCCTGTCGAGAACTAGAAGCACTCACATATCTAAAACTTTTAATTTTCGCTACGTTAAGACGTTTTTGAGTGAAATTTATTATTTTGTACATGTCGATAGTAATTAGAAGAATTGAAACCGTCCACTACAATGTACCATGATAAACTACGATATAATAAATAAATAATGACTTAGGAGACACAAAGGTCCAGAGGTTATAAAAATAGTGATAACCAAATGAGATACCTAATCACCTAATCGTTTTTAAATGTAAAAATAACTAAATTACTAACTGCTCACGTGGTAATTACTGTTTAATAGTTTTGCAAATGTGTAAGAATGAATGCTAGACAAAATTGTGTACATTATAAAAATTAGGATAATTCTGTCGATAAGTTATCAGCTACAAAAAATGTGCTTTAAGGGCGCCGTTTTATAGACAAGAAACCGCACTTAAGGTAAGACAGCGATGGCATCTGATAGATAGAAGAAAATCCATTCAGGAAGTGGCGGTCTCTACTAGCGTAATGCCAAACTAGAACAACTTCGTAGTACCACATAGCAATCGACGCAAAGATTTCTTTAATCGGTAACTACATATTCTCGGGATATTGGCAAGCCTATTATCGTCCAGAGCCGCATTAGGGAAAATATGTGCAATGAACAAGAATTGTCATATAATTTTAATATTTGAACAAAAAAAAATATAAATTTTCAAATTCAGATGCCAACATATGATAGATCTTCATTTCCTTTACAAAAGAGGTACTCTTTAGTTCTTTAGATAAAATGCTCCATTTCCGAGAAAAACGGATTTAAGCAATTCATAACATTACCTTAATAAAATTCTAAAAATTTGCCTTGAATGGTAAAATGGGCACATGTACCATTATGAATTTTCATATGTCATCATATCAATATACATAGTAATAAACAACGTGAAAAGTGCTTAGAAAAGTTTGTTATGGGCCGTCCCGAGCAGGGGGGAGGGAATCGGGTAAATTTGTTTCAAATTTTTTACATGTTGCTATTTGTTGCTATAAAATTTGATTGATCCGAGTTTTCTATGACAAAAAGGTGATGTTGTTTTGATCTGAATTTGAAAATTTCGGCAAGCAAAAAATTGGTGCAAATTTAGCCGACGACCCACCCCCACTTGAGACGATTAAAATTTTTTTAAAATTTTATGATGATTTATTTCGACTTTTAAGAGCGTTCATGGTATCAAAATTCATAATTTTCCTTCAACCCGTTTCGAAAATAAAAAAATTTTTTGAGACCCTATTTAGGGGGTGTAGCTCCCTTAGGAAACATCTCTCGACCCATGTTTATTTGAAAAAATATTCTTATTTTTGGCAATATAATCAAGTGGTAAATTATTAGATACTAATTTTGAGACACCTTGTATATAAAAAAACTACATTTGATTTAATATTTTATCAAAAATGTTAATTATAATGTTAAGCAATATTAGTATACAACGCACGCTCGTTAATCTGCCGCCGCGTTTTTTGGAATGCCACGAAAATAAAAAGCTTTATTAGGCCGTCATGCTAAAATAAACAATGTTTAGAAAAAAATACACACGCTAGAAGCGGCAAAATTTTCATATTTTTTATTTCAGTGTATAATGTTTAGTTTAGTTATACTGAATGTTGTTTGAATAAAATATATGTTTGCTTATATTTATTTTTATTAAAAATTTATTTTATTTATTTTTATTTATTAAATCGAATAATATATCCTTCTCGGTCCCCTGCGTGTTTGCAAGCCTGAACCCATCTCGCTTGTACTAACAGACCGCTACGATGTTTACGGCGAAACCCTTTTATTGGCTGCTATAATTAAAAATCGCTACCAACTTTTTTCTGACATTTCACTTTTGTGGTCAAATTGCATTCCTAAAGTCGAAATTCATAGTCCGCAGGTGGCAAGTTTTGAGTTTCACCGAACTATTACACCGTTCTACTAAAAATGTGATATTTTTCTGTTGTAATAATTATACAGAAATATCACACAAAAAAGTACGAAATACTGATGCTATACAATCGTTATTAATTAGGCATATAATTAAACACAGTTATAGTAAAACCAAAAATAACTGTAAACAAAATCTAACTGGTATAATCAAATAAGACATATTTACAAAATATTTTTAATTAGTAAGTCATCATTTCATTTGTTCACAGCGTATTTGCCTCCAGTTGCCACAATTTAAAATTTATTTATATTATTTATTTAACAAATATGTGAGCTCCTTGACCTACATTAATAATAAGTATTCTGTCATAAAAACATGCCATTTGTTTTAACACATCTAAAAACACTTTATTGGAGGCATGCCGGCGAGTTGTATCTGTGGCACCTGCACTTTCCGTATTCCACCGTACCTATTTCATCGTGACGATGCGAGCACGAATCAATTGCTTTAAAATGTGTTGTAAATTATAAAGTATCTACATAAATCAATCACTTTTTAAACAGGGGCTAATTATAAACATTTGATTTAAAAACTAATAAGACATACGATCAGAAAAATTAAATTGTAAAAAATATTTTTAAGAAATCTTAGGGGAACTTATTTGGCTTGCTTCTCAAGAAAAATGTATAATAAATCATGAAGTCACTCTTCAACAAGCAACAGTAATTATTACATACAAAATTTGGTATTCAGGATTATGGTTTCTAAAATTATATTGGATCTAAAAACTAGTAAAACACACAAAAATCAAATTGTGCAAAATATCTTAAAGAAATCTTAGGGAGGCACTGACTCCCGCTTCTAAAAAAACTGCTGCTGTGTAGGAAATTTTAATTATCTTATCACGCTCCATTTTAGTTTAGACAGTCTGATAAATACCGAATGGCATTTGCCTAATTCTTTCTTCTCTAGTAATTTTCTGACCGATTATATTATCTGGACTATCATCAAAATATGTGTATTAAGTACCATAATTTATTTGTGTTTATAGTTCTTTTTACTATCAGACTTTACTATTATTAGTTGTCAGAATTGTAATTTTTTAACGTACTTACTACTATTTAACAGTATTCGTAAGAACTCGGAATAACAGTTTTATTAATACGATTAATTTAGGTGTAAAGCTTAATATTGCCATTTAAACAAGCATTGCCATCGCATTCTTTTATATTATCTAAAATCGGCGCAAATACAACTCAAACATATTGAAGTTAGTCCGACTCTGGTCCGGCAAAAAATACGTTAGAACGATAACTGTGACTATCGCCCTCTCTTCGACAGTATCCAAACTATAGAAATTTTGAAATACGAAGGATTCCTTCAATTTTTCGGCATGAAAAGATGACCGATAATATAAAACATCAGAACATGTCATGTACCTGTCCTGTTTTGTCCAATTGATTTATAAAACTACTCAATAATTCTTATTAAATCATGTGTAAATAGTATTCCAAAAGCATTCTATTGGGTGTGGCTATGTTTATAATACCGTACGTGTTTATCTGTATGTTCAACAGTCGTGTAAAGTTCAGGAAACGTAAAATAAAAAAATATGCTTTTTTTCCTTACTTAAAATGTGTTGTCATTTGTCTCCCACCCTGAAGAAAACTTGTACGAGCAGTACAGTGAAGAGATATCGTTTCAAATTTGCTTAGATTTTTTAAACAATTGGACAAAAAATTCATTGAAAATTGCGCATAAAAACGCCAGCCTTATAAACAATATTTGCGTGATAACTTCGCTTATGTTAATGTCTAATACTAAAGATAAATGAAAGATTTCTAATTCCGTTTACAAATGCAGAAAGAACCCTTATACCCTTTGGTCAGTTGTACCTACATTTATTTAAAATTATAACCATGTTATAAGGAATTTTTCTACTACAAAATCAACAGAATGGTGCGATATGATATCTACTAATGAACATATTTATTTTAAATTAAATTCGAAATAAAGTAATAATTAAATATACAATAGTGTACACACCAAAGTGCATATGAAATAAAATGTGTTGATGTATAGAGTATAGGGTCAGAATTTAAAAGTCACGCACCCGAGAATATATGACAGTATTTTAAAAAATAAACAAATTTTCATATAAACATATTTCTAAAAATATCTCTTCAATCTCATAGATGATGACTGATGATCTGCAGATAAACTTAGGATTGAATTTACGTAGCTAACACGATTTTGAAGACACGAAATTTTGTTTTCGAAAACTTATCAAAAGTCATTTTCGTTAAATTTTCAGTTTACAAAGTGAGTACCATTTTATGTTCTAGATGTAAAAATAACTCTATTACATATTCCACCAAGCTTGCCTTTTACTTTTATCATTGATTACTATCTACATATCTAATGATTTAATGCAAGGAAAAATGCAAATGCAGTAAAAATAATAAATTTACTATGAACACACAACTACACGGGAACAGTGTATTTATTTCTCAATAAGGACTTAATCACCCTGTATGAAAATTGAAAAAACTTTATACCGATTTAAATAATTTGGATTTAAATGTACAGCAGCGTGCTTATTTAACCATATGTGCATTTAGTCATATGGACGCTTAGCCACGTGTGAATTCAGTCATACGTGCACTCGGTTACATGTGCATTAAGCCGTATATACATTTAATCAAATGTGAGCATTTTGCCACGTTCTTTAGTCCCATGCAAGGATGTTTAATTATTGTTTATAAATTATAATTAAATATCCTCGAGTCCCATGTAGAGGTGCCAAAGTTGTCAAACGTATAACTATCTACCTAGGTACTATGTCAGATAGTGACATCTTATTTTGAGAATTTTACCCCAAGGAACTGTGATAAATCCACGTAGATACACAGAATATTGATATAAATACTTATTTGTTATTTATTATTATTTATCATTTATTCTGAGTATTGAATAAGTTATTTTCAATCACCAATCATTAATTATTTGTCTTACATAATCGTAAGATAAGATAAAGTAGTAAATACTATCAAGGCTAAAGTATTTCCACTCGATAAGTTTACATGAATTATAACTGGAGTTTGACATTTTGGTGCATACATTAGAAATCTTAAGAAATTTAAAAATGCCTCATTCGTGTTATCAAGTATTTCTGATTCTTACTATTTGAATCTAAAAGGACATACTTTGTGTTATCATTTTCCACATTAGAAGAAACTAACCCAAATTTCACTTTATTTAAAGTATGAGGAATTAAAGTTTGCTATGCCGTAGCGCCTAGCCTACCTATGTATCGGATGGCTGCTAGCTTACATTGCACTTCCTTAAAATAGTCTTAGCTAGGAACCTTTGACCTAGTCTCGTTATTCTCGGGCAAAGCTCTGTGGGGGCGAATCGGCTATCAGAACTTCTAGACCTGCCCTGATGATTTGGTTCTTAGGCTGCTACGAATTAATTTTTACTGCTTCATTTAACAGGAATCACATATGTATTTTTTATTACCTCAGTGTAATATTCACTGTAAGTAAAACCTCACAGATTTTGTGTCAAAATAAGGCGATTGAACTGAAAAAGCATTTCATGTCTTAAAATTCAGAATGCATGGTAAATATGTATAAAATGCATTTATGTTCCAATTAAATTTTTAATTAAGCAAAAAAGTTAAACATATTGTACAATAAATGAAATTCGAAAGAGCAAAACCTTGAAAAAATTTGTTTTAAATATAAAACGCAAATTGTAGTTATTCAGGGTTCGTAGTGGCCGGGAAAACCGGGAAGTCAGGGAATTTGTTATTCTTCATAAAAAACAGGGAATAGTCAGAGAATTTTAAAAATATCCACGAGTCGGGGAATTTGATGTTTGCAACTGGAAATTTTGTGAAAGCCGGCCCTGGGTTCTGGAAAGAGAAAACTATTTGTGGTTTTGAAACCTTTATTATTTAGAGGTTTTTTAGGTATAAAAAAATTATGGAGTTGTCGAGAAAAAATTTAATGCATAAACACTAATTAATATGCAAAAATGAACTACAAGTGACCTGGATTTTTTTTTGTCAGGGAAAACCTGGAAAAATCAGGGAATTTTTTATTACTTTTGAACTATGTTATTTCTTTCTTCTTTCTTTAAATCTGTAAACTATTAGAAATTGATTTTTTTTCAATTTTATTTTTTATTTAAATCATACTTTCATCTCAAAAATTAGTGGTTATGATCCATAATACTGTCAATTGCAAGTCAAATGCATAAAAATTATTAACTCTTACAGCTGCCATACTGGGCAATTTTATTACATCATATAATTTTTATGCTCGGTGTCTGTACTGTTCTGATGTATGTGACCGATAATGAAGTTGAATTTGTAAATATCATTTTATAAATTTAATATCTTGTTAATATTTTAATAGTTTAATGATTTTATCGATAAAAGTGATTTAGTACTCACTAAAATCAGCAATTACGATCTGCAAAACTGTCGATTACAAGTTAAACGCGTAAAAGTAACTGACTCTTACAGCTGACATACTGGGTAATTTTATTTTGTCATAATTTTTATGCTCTGGGGCAATAATTTCGATTATTTTAGCTGAAGCGTGTACGTAAGAGGATACTACTCCCAAAACAGGAGTCGACGGTCGATCAACCGTCACATTATGAAAAATAAAACACAACACATCCGGAAATCATTATCTGTACTTACTTAAATAAATTACATCTAACAACAAATAAATGACCAATACACAACCGTACTGAATGATGGTGAATGACAACGTAAAAAATAGAATAGAGTATGGACATCCGCGCGGCATATAAATATCTCTAACCGTCCGAAAACGCAAATGTGTATGTAAATATACAATGAAAAATATATTCCTGGCTTTTTCCAAACGTTTTTCATACAAAAGACCTGCACTTTATACAAAGTGACAAACATGTTACGGATAAATAGCCACTATTGCGGCACCAAGGTACAAACGACTAAAAAAAATAAACGACCCCAATAGTCACTATCCACCTAACAAAATCACAATATCAGTCGAGCCGCAGCTCAAAGATATCTCCACCTACAAAAAACTAATTAGAACAAGAGGGCCCCCATGCCGCCCATCTCGCTTTGTTCCTTGACGAAGATCTCGAAGTACTGGTAAATAATTGTGACGGCCAACAGGATACCAGTACCGGAACCGATCGCCCCCATGAAATCCGCCAACACGGACAACGCTCCGATGCAGAGCCCCCCGAAAGCCGCCGCCGTCGGAATGTAACGGTTGAGCTCGTGGATCATGGAATGGTCCCGGTGCCCCCTCATCACCATCTGTTGTTCCTTGAGCTGTTTGGCGACGTCCTTTGCCGAGCTGCCCGACACTTCTATCCAGGTCTTCGAGAAGAAGGCGCAGGACCCCAACATGAAAACGATGTATAAAACGGCATGGACCGGATCCTCCAATATGTGACTGACGCTTTCCGGAGGCGAAAGGTAGTAACACAACCCCCCTATCGGGTAGGACCTAGCCGGACCTCCCCCGCCAACGTCAGCCCACACGCCCAGCAGATTTATAAGAAAATTGCCTTGGAACTTAACGGCCAGCATCTGCGAGATGACGTACAAGTTCGACACTAACGCCGACTGCAGGATAATCGGGATATTCGACGTATAAAACAACTTGATAGGATAGCTAGAATACTGACCGCGATACCTAGCGCTCTTTATCGGCAGGTCCACCCTGAACCCTTGGAAGTATATCACGATGGCAAAAACGAAAACGGTGGCCAGCAGATTCATGAGGTTGGGAAGGTTCTGACGGTAGAAGGCCTCGCGGAGCCCGCGGATCTTGTCCTGTCTGGTGGTGAGCAAGTGGAATAGGGCGATGACGGCGCCCTCGAATTCGGTTCCCCTGCCGGTGTTGACGGTGGCTGGGGAGAAGGCTTTCCAGATGATGGTCTCGCAGATGTTGGTGGCGATGAAGAGGGAGATGCCGGAACCGAGGCCGTAGCCTTTCTGGAGGAGCTCGTCGAGGAGGAGGACGATCAGGCCGGCAACGAATAGTTGGATGATGATCAGAAGGCACACTCCGGCGCCGATTTCCGCGGGATCCCCGTACATTCCGGTCATTACGTAGACGATGGCTTGTCCCACAGTGATTACCATGCCAAACACTGGAAAGGAAAGCACGGTGAAATATAGGCGACATTGCTATTGTATACAGTGTGTGCCACTGTGCAAAAAATGGGAAATTAAATAATAATAATATACAGGATGAGCCAATTAAAGCTTCCCACATGGAAAATATCGGATTAAAAAATAAACAAAAATAACCTGAGTTACGTCAATTTTCATGATGGCGTAAGTTTTGGTACCTTAGAAGCTACCCTTAAAAAGGGTACGACTTTGGACAAATTGGAATGACAATAAAATCATCACTTACAGAATAAGAGAAAATATTAATGAATGAAGGAATGTTATTTTATTTTATGTTCAAATTAGTTTCCTTCTGCTTCCATACAATAATAAAATCTGCTCCTCTTCCAAACAAATATTTCGAAGCATTTCGGATGTTATCTAATGACATTCTTTAACAATTCGCCGACAAAACTCCTCAAGTGAGTTCGGTCGTGTTGCATAAAATTTCAACTGTAAGTGAGAAAAAGTCTACCCCTGCCGAAGGGGTAGCTTCCAAGACATCAAAACTTACGCCATCACGTGTTGAAAAAAAAATCGACGTGTCTCAAGATTTTTTTGATTTTTTTTAATTCCGATATTATTCAAGTGGGAAATTTTAATTGAAACACCCTGTATAATACCACCACCACCACCAAAAGTTGGTACACACAAAAAATATATTGAAAACTAAATTGGTCTTATTTTTTTAATTTTGAATTGACCCTAAATAAAGATCATATTCAATATTTCAATTTATTGTTTCTATAATTAATTTTATAATTTTTTTTGTATGTAACGCCACAAAAATCCTTTTTAATATTGATTTGCGAAAGGTTAGATAGATTCAGTATAAATGTCGTGATGATGCGACACAAAACAGCTGGTTCGTTCGTCGGTTTTCTCACCTATGACACACTGACGAGGACTAATAAGTCCGAAACTGGTCTGTGCCTGGTGGGTTAAACTGACGAACGACCCTAACTGTTGCACTAGGTGTTGCGAGTATAATTCAATGCCGGTAGGGGCATATAGCCCTCCAAGTAGTTGTTTCTCGCAACACTCACAAAGTAATTCAGTACAAAATTGTTTATTATCTCTCTTACTAGTTTCGACTCAGGAAAGATTTTCTTCTTCCCTGAAGATCAATGAACAATCATAACTGAAACTAATAGAAAGGTAAATAATACAATTTCATATTGAATTGAAAAGAGATCTAATTTTCCCCATTACATCTAAAAAAATGTATGCCTATTGCAATGATATTTAATACAATCGTAAAATTTCGCAAATATTTTTCTAACACAGCAGAGAATAATAAAAAACTCAAATTGGACCATTGTTATTGAATTATTGCAAATTTCATATTATCCAAACTTACTAAAATTTCCTGATTTTAATTTATTATTCCAATAGAATACACATTCACGATGGTTTCAAGGCGGAAAATCCACCAGGTCATAGAACAAATTATTTTAAGCCAAAAGTAAAGATGAACTTTTTAAAAAATATATTCTTCATGTTTTTATCCAAAGTTAATAATTTGAATGGTTTTTTCTTAATAGTGCTCGTGATCTGAATTAAAAACTATTTAGTTTCTCTTTACTTTTGCATACCATTAACTTAATCACAGTTAAAGTTAGACAAGCTTTTCCTGTTACTTTTAGTTTTTTATAAATCTATTCAATTCTCCAGCAAATTTTTTTTACCTGGTTGATTTTAAAAATTTACTGTACGAATAGGTCTGCCACTAAAATTTTCACATTCATTGAAAATATTTACAAGCAAAAGAACAAATAAAATAATGTAACAACATTAAATAACTAAATTTCTCTCCATTTCAATTAACCAACTTTCATCTTTCAACCCTTTTGTTACTTTTCTTCTTTCTTATTTCTTGTCTAATAATTTCGCCACATATCTGTCTAATTTTATTTTCTAAATATTTTGAAAGATCTTTGCATTCATTTCAAGTAGTATCTGATATTATTTTTTAACCTTTTAATTTTCAATAATTAAAAAATATTTATAGTCGGTCAAACGAAGGGGTGCAAAATAATGTTTTGTTTCGGGAAAAAAAATCCTAATACAATTTTTTAAATATAGGCGAAAAAAATCATAGGAAGTTTAAAATTGGCAATATTGAGAAAGTTATAGTTTACAAGTACAATTTTCATACATTCCACTCCCTATTTCACCAGAACAAATAGAACAAATTCCACCCTAAGGTTAGACCAACTATAAAACTGTTCAAGAGTAAACGGAGCCGAGGATAGAGTTTAGTGACTAGATAATAAATGTTATTATGATAATCACTAATAGCTATGTCGGCACGGGACTCTCGGATTTATCTTCCTGTGTATACAAGAAACTTTTGGATTAATAACCAAAACCTCTCAAACACCACAGGGCATAAAATATCAACTTCACTATGTCCTACAGTTTATTCGATATAAAAATTATTGCATTTTTTCTCCTAACTAATGACATTTTATTTTCACACAATTTTATAAAATAAAAATCAAAATTTAGTTAATAAAACTACTAAACTTGGATATCGGCTTTAGATAATCAAGTTTTGAAATAAAAATATAATGATTTATTTCCTAGCTTCCTAAGTTTATTTCTCATTCACGGTACGTCTAAAGTCATCATCTCGGTTGCAATTATTCTTCAAATTTGTGTAAACTAGTTACAAGAATGAAAACGACTTAAAACCTCTCAAAAGATTTAAAGAACAAAACCAAAAAAACAATGTTTTACAAAGGACCATAAGAACTTTAGATAGGAAACTTTTTATTGTCCGTATCTGTACGTATTCAATAATAAAATGTAGATAAAGATATATTTCATAATCTGTTCTATACCGAGCAACATCGGTAGCTGTTTACTGTAGTGATAAAAATATTTAGAGTACATAATTCAATTATTTCTATTGAAAAATAAGCACAGTAAAATTTAAAACTTGAATAAAAGCAACAAAACGATAATATTCATGAATTTCATAATTTATAGAAAAACAATGTGAAAGGCAAGAAAAAATATAACATTTTTTTTAAATTTGTTTAATTAAAAAAAATTCAATAAACTTTTTCACTATGAATTTTGTTGACATCCGATCCACTTTAAAAATTAAGAAATAAATTTAAATTTTTAATGATTTACTTTCCGTGATGTTAAAAGTGGATTTCTTTATTATTCCTTTTATGTGCAGACTACAAAAAAAAAAAAAGAAGTTGTGTAAATTTGTGTCAGAATTTCGAACTCATCGAGATAATAGTTACTTATGTATCAAGGGAGATACAGGAATAATTATGAAATCTAAATTCTTTATGATAAAGAATATAAGCATTTTGAAACTTAGAGTTAAACTATATTAATGGGATATTTACCTTTTATCACTAAAGAAATATTTATAATTTTTGACAATTTATATTTCTTATAAATATCATCGATTAGAGCCTTATTTGAAGCAAATATAGAAAGTATATATGTAAGATATTGAAAAGAGAGGATATTTTGAAATCTATTAGAGAAACATCAAGTCATACATATATTTTGGAAAAGGTAATATAGGAAGTCATTGGGTATATTATTGCATGTGCTTAATAGGTTTTTGTTATTGTCGGTTGTTCTAGTAGTTTTTGGAGGATTAAGAAGAGATGAGTTGGTAAAGCTCTCGATAGATGATATAGATGACAAAGGAATCATTGTTGTAGTAAAAATAAACGATACAAAAACTAAAGTACCAAAATCTTTTACTATTGTGGAAGAAAATGAAATGCACGCTCTCCAATAGTATCAACAGTATGCCTTTGCAACCGAAAGAAATTAAAGACCGGCGGTTTTTTCTGACAACCAGAAGGCAAAAATACTTTCGGTAGCATACCGTCCAGGATTGCACATAGGAAAATGGAAGAGTGATACTGTAGCATCAGGATATGTAGAAGATAGCATAACGTCCAAGAACAAAGTATCTCGTTTAATAGCAGGAGTAGAAAGAACTAGTGACGACAATTTTTCTGAATTGATTGAGGGAAAATGAACATTTATTCGATGGCAAAGAAAATTCGGGTAGTTTTCCTGATGTTACTGTTAAAGGTTTCATCTCAAATTGTACCCTCCTTTTTAAAGACAGTTGTAAATGATTTTTGTTATTAATTTAAAGCAAATTGTTGTTCTATATCAAATATTAAGGTTAATAAACTTTGTACATTAATTTGTCTGCTTCATTTATACAAGGCACATTCTAATCTACCCTTGCAGAAAAGAAGGGTACAAAATAAGGTCAAAATGCGGGCGATAATATTGAGGTCCGCTTATTTCGCCCTAGAGTGATATGACGTTGTTTTCCCCTTTCGTTTCCTACTAATAAACAAGCTATGTCGCCTAAGTGAAAAATAAATTAAAATTTATTTAAGAAGGCTCCAGAATTCACCAAAAACATGCAATATGAAGTTCTTGGAACACATTTTTGTAAAACGAATTTAACTGAATCCTAATATTATATCAGCGTATAATAATTATTTCAATAATGGACTTTAATAATACATTAAGAAATTAACCTTAATTTCAAAAAATGAAAGCTTCAAGGGTAAATGTTTATATAAGAAAATGTCCTTAAATTTGGAAACGGAAACACTAATAACATAAAAGTAATACAATAACCATTAAGACAAATTTTCCTGATTTTGATTTAATAAATATAAGTATATAAGTTTATTGCCATACATATTGCGTCTGCCGCTAAGAATAACTGTACTTACATTTCTGGGCACCGTTGAAAAGAGCTCGATCTTTGGGAGTGTCACCAACTTCGATAATCTTCGCACCGGCAAGCAGTTGCATGATCAATCCCGACGTCACTATGGGTGAGATACCTAATTCCATGAGCGTACCCCTGTTCGAAGCGAGAATCACACGGATCCAATAGAAGGGATCTGCAGAATCTGAACTCATTATACCGAACAGCGGTATCTACAAAATACAAGAAATTAGAACCAGTCAATGTAATTCAATAATAACACGTTTCTTACCTGACAACATACTAAGAAAATAAATAGAGTGATGGCAGTCCATAATACTTTCTCCTTGAACTGGATCTGTAACAAGAAACATGCCACATGTACCAGAAACAGCTGTTTCAAAATATGAATGAAAAATATTTGGTTTTCGTAAAACTTTTCGAAAAAGTAACTGTAAAATGCTTTGTAAACATATTTCAAGCAAATTTAGAGTTCGTCTAAGACACAACTTCACGAAATCTCGACAGATGGAAACGTTGCATACCTTTCGATCTGGTTTTCCTATTTCTGGCAGAATACTGCAAAAAGGCTTAATAACCTCTAGGAATTTTACTGAAACAAAAATAATACGTCAGAAACCAAATCCATACGTGTTAAAACAGGGATTGGAGCATGGCCACAAAAACCACAAACATAAAATGCCCAAATCGTGTAGGTTATAATTTCTAAATCAAACGTTTTACACAGGCATAATTATAAAAGTACTTACTGCCCATCCTGATGGGTCCCTTGTAACTTATCCACTACAAAATCACAGTTAATTTTATTAGGACAGTCCTTTCGAGAGGTGTCACGTCAGTCCTCTCTGCCCAAGTTTTGAAGTTACGGTACTTTCAGAGTGAAATTTTGGCTTCCACGACGTACACGTAGCACCGTACTCGGTCACGTGACCGATGATGTTGGCGACGAGTGTCACTGAGTATGCTACGTATTTTCCAGAGAATAGAGGACATTCTAATTCGTGCTGGTGTTGTGTTGGTTGCCTAAATTAAAATATTATTGACAGAAAATATATTCATTTAAAATACAATTTTCAGCTATGAGTTTTCTCCGCGACATGTTAAGCACGTTACCAAACCAAAAGTTACCTCTATTTCAGATTGAGTAGTTTTTCATTACTTAATGACCACCTTCTTGGTAATCCCTAATCACTTGTCTAATTTCAAACATAAGTAGACTTGGCAATTTTTTTTTTTTTGTAAAAGTGCACTTTCGAAATTTATACTCTTATCTCTTATTAATGTTTTTTATAGTATTCAGAACAATTGAAATGCGGCTGTTTTTAAACCATATCAATGGAACATCAGTTATTTTTAGAGATACAAAATTAGTCAAATGAAAGTAACGTTGAGGAATTTGACGGAAATTTGTCCCATATTTTTTCATTTTCATATTTATCGACGAAGAATTTGAAACTAATTACCTATTTTTTTTTTAATAAATAACTGTTTCATTCCTTAAAAATGCAATTAAAAACAATCATTTTTTAGGTTTTTAGTCTCACATACTTTTCACGACTGTTTTTATTAGGTGTAACAAAACATAAAAAAATAACTGAGGTTATGTGACTCTGCTGACATTCAGTATGTATCTCTTAAAATAACAGAGATTCCAGTGGTGCGCCTCGAAAAATTAGTACCCTAAATATCAATCTTTATTCTCTAGAAACAAATCGTGTTTTTTTTTTATTTCATTCTTCATATTGCCCCAGAAATTTTAATGATTAATTTTATATGGTGTTTGGCAGTTATTTTCTTCGTCAGGATTATGTTCAGGAAAAAAAAGCAACAGTTCGTGTGTATACATATAGATTTATTTTCACGATTTGTACTTAAATGTTAGTTTTAAAGTGGTTCTTAGAAGCTTTTAGTTTCAATTTCGACATCAAAATTACTTATACCTTTAGAAATATGTTGTGTACGGAAGATAGAAAAATAGATTGCCTGCGGGTCACCTAGAGATAGATTTAAATTTCTGGCAGTATAAATAATTTTGTATACACTGGCAGGATTGTTTAATATATCATTTACTAAGATGCTACGTATGTATGCGTCAATTTTGATTTTTTTCACATATATCCTCTATACATTACAACAAAAACAGTTATATACAACGTCTCTATTCTTCTAACATTAAATAATAAATATGGCATAACGTTAAAAATATCTAAGTAAGTGCTGCTAGATATTAACAAATAGGATTATAAATATTGCTTATAAATATAAAATTAAACTACAGTAAAAACAAGGCAAGAACATAACCAACATATTGTACACAGCTACTATTCAGAAGAAGGGTAAAAAGAAACTTTCATAAAAGGTTCCTGCAAGGAAACCAATGTATTAAATTTATTTATGACTTAGGTATCATACAGGATGTTTAAAGATTTCGCAATGAGAAGACGTCCAATAATTTACATTCTTCCTACTCACAGTAGTCCCATATTGAATGTCAAATTGTGGTATGATTTTAAGTGGCTACCTACATATTTTCTTCATTTATTTAAAAAAATAATAATAAATCACAATCACTGAGATTTATCTAATACTTATTTTACTGACACTTAACCGAAATATTTGTAGAAGATTACCTAATGCTTATCTTTGATTTAAAGATAAGGGTAAAGCCTAACAATTGTTATAGACTGCATATTGGACATTCCTAAGATGCAACAAAATGTGAGTGTGGGTGACATATAACCTACAAACTGTGTTACATCTTAATAGCTGCACAATTAATGATTTTGGTTGTTTATTAGATGTTGCGGCTGTAGTTCAATGCTGGAAGAGCTTCAGTTTTCGTCTAGCATACGTGAAAATAACTCATATTGACCCTAAAATATGACCGATGGTTTTTGTTACATTTTTTTTTTGGTTTTGTTTAACGCTAGTCAAAAAACAATTGTATGTCACACATGCAGAAAACTCGTACGTAGCCCTTAGCTATCAGCAGCTAATATCCTCGGGCTGCTAATGGTAATGTTTTGCCCTTGTGACACAATATACTATAATGTCAACTTAAACACAGGACTAAGGTATATAGGACCCATTTGTCATATTTTGGAAGCAAAATTATCCGGTAGCGTTTGTGCTCCTTCATTTAAATACACCCTGTATAGTGGCATATTCCGATATGGGCATTTTTAACTACCACAATGAACATTTTGAACTACCAACATTGGACCTACGAAAATATCGTATACCTATTTACCAATTTCCAAAAATACTAAAATCAGTAAGTACGAGGGGTAATTAAAGCTGAAAGAATACCTTAACCGATTTCGGCTTCAGTTACAAAGTAAATCTAACTGATATTGATCAGCGCTATTCGCTCCGTTTACACACGAGTCCACGTTTGGCTAGCGTCAAATTACATTTCCTGGATTTACCAAGGTACACATATGTACATGCATATATCTACAAAGCAATATTTATTAGCAGATTTTATTCAAATCGCGAGACAATGAGTTTACGTGTTCAAATCCGAACATTTTATTTGAAATGCATTTGTAAATATATTTAAGATATACATGTAAACATGTACACTCTAAAGGACTAAACAAATTATTTATCACGATCGACAATTTTAAATAGAGCTTTAATTTACTGTTACTAGTATATTCAACAATGCATGAGTTTGATGTGAAAAATATTTCGTCCTTTATTTGAAATAAAAACTCCTTTTTGACAATTCGTTTTTAGAGCAAAAATACGATAAAAGATCTAATAATTAAATTGAGTTAAACGTTCCTGTAATAAATTTAAGGCAATGGAAATTTCAATACAATGTTTTACAAAAAGCTAACTTCTTATAACAAATGAGGTAGCACTATATATTACTACGAAAATATGATGAATGATGAATACTACATTTTAAAAGGGACCAAAATAAAAATGTCAACCTTATAGGGAGAATCAGCTTCTTGTACCCGAGAATATCATGTAAACAAAGCACAACGCATTTTATTCCGACGGAAATAAGAATTTTAGCATAGCTGATAGGTTTTTATTTCATTTGTACATTTGTTATTTCTAATAGAGCTTTTATTTAGTTTTTGAACACAATTATTGTTTTATATGTTCCAATTTTCGGGTACATGGAGTTGCCAGTTTAGAATTGTTCAATATGATCATTGTTGTTAGACATGCAAAGTAAAAAACACATTTTTTGTACTGTACTTTGTTTGATAAAAAACATAATACGCTAGCTGTTTTATTATACAGTGCGTTCATGATGAAAGGAACAAATTCGGTTAAAATTCAGGTAATTATTTTGTGGAAAAACGCTCGGACACGTCGATTAGTATTTTTAGTTGCGGATTTTTTGACATGAGAAAATTGTATACAGGGTGTCTCAAGGAGAACATATGTAGTCACCGCTGATTTTTTTTAATGAAACACCCTGTATATTAGGCCATTTTTGAATTGTACGGTAAATTCTGAATCTCTAAATTCAGCGGTTTTCGTAATAATGACGTTTAAAAATTGATATTTTGAATTACACAATTAAATAAAAAGTTTAAATTGAACAACCTTAAACATTTTTTTAAAAGCCAACAAAAACAACCTGGTACGCCAAATTTTATCTTAAACAAAACAATTTCCTTCGTATTAATCGTTTTTCATTCCTTGACCCCTAGACCATTTTGATGTAGTATTTTGTGACAATATAAACCAAACTATCACCGACGTTTAGTTTGTCAGTGTCATTTTATCAGTTTTACGTTTCATTTTAAAAATTCATTTATCTGAGAAAAAACGTATTGGAGGACTGATGATGATTGGTTTTGGAGTGTGGAATGTAATTCATCCTGATCGACCTCCAATTACTAGATCTACTGTCAGCAAAATTGAATTGAAATTTGCTGAGCATGGCCACGATAGAGATTTACCTAAAGGAATACCAGCAGAAATATAAGAAGATTACAAACTAGACGTTTTACAAGAAATAAAAGTAAATAATCTCCATGTATTCGTTAGGACAATCTCCAGGAATTGTAATTTGTCATCGGGATCTGTGTCACAAATACTCCGAAAAAAATAAATATCATTCATCTAAGGTCCAATTGATACATGAACTATTAGAAGACGATTTTCACCGAAGAACGCAGGTTTGTGAGCAGATAACTGAAGCCCGAAAGATTATTTTTTCTGGTGAGGTCACTTTTGGTTTTAAAGGACACGTAAACAGACAAAACAGCACGTACTGGGCAACTAAAAATCCTCATTAGACACAAGTATGTCACACACAGCATCGTCAAAAAATAAATGTTTGGGAAGGTATAGTCGAAAACCGAATTCTTGGATCTTATGGATCTTGGAAGAAAATTTAAATGGAGAACGCTACTTAGATTTTCTTCAGCTTGAACTCATCCCAGCTTTAGCTGTCGTGTTTCCACATCCACAAGATCCAGATATTCCTCATAATGACATATGGTTCCAACACTTTCCTCATTTTGCAATTCGACAATTTCTTGACTTAACTTTCCCTAATAAATGGATTGGACACAAAGGTCCTATTGAGTGGCCACTCAGGTCACCGGATTTAACCCCTTTAGATTTCTTCTTATGGAATTATTTGAAATCTAAAGTTTATGTGAATAGATAATTTTGTTGATCTGAAACAGAGAATACGTCAAGAAATAAGACTTGTTCCAGTAGAGGTAATTGAAAATGTTAAACGGAAAACAATCCTGACTACAAAAATGTATAAAAGTAAACGCACAAAACATCGAACATATTTATTATAAAGCAATTGTTATTTAAATACTGTTTCATGATTTAACATTATTTTTTTTCAATTTATCACATTTCAAACGTCATTATTACGAAAATCGCTGATTTTAGAGACATGGTATGTTATACAAAAAATGTTCAGAACTTACCGTACAATTCAAAAATGGCACAACATACAGGGTGCTTCATTAAAACAAATCAATGATGACTACAATTTTCTTATGTCAAACAAAAGTCCACAACTAAAAATACTAATCGTCCGAGCGTTTTTCCACAAAATAAACATGAATGCACTGTATTAGCTCGTAAAATTAACAAGCTCGAACATCCATTATGGAAGAAGAAATTCTGGAAATGGTGAAAGAGAACCCGGCAACCAGCGTCAGATTAATACAGAAGCAGATTACAGTTTACAAAAACAAGTTCATCCAGTTCAACAACTTCTCGTTTTCAATTCTCGCAGATTATTCGCCACTACCGAGCTGGGGATATGAACACCACAGAAATCGTTTCACGAACGAATCGTGTTTTAACAAGCGTAGGATAAAAATCTCCATAACCAGCACATTAGCGCAGATGAAAATCCTCATGTCGTTATGGAGCGAAGGAAACGCAATAATAAAACGCTTAGTTGAAGTATACATAAAAACCATCTTATCATTTTAATCAAAGGTAAGAAAGACAGACACTTAAAATCATCACCACCATCAACATGCGACCAGAGCACTTACTATAAATTAACCTAAAATTTGTCTCCACCCGTTACAACTTAACAGTGACAGATTTCTTAACAGCCTAATCTTCGAAATTGCACAACTACCTACACTGATAAGGAACCCCCATACGCACGAAGACGATCCCCAAACAGATTTACTCCTTCAAAGCTCGCCAAGTCCTTAAGTAGCTGCTCACGATCAGTTCGCGTCTTCCGAGACAGATTCTTCGGCTTCCTGTTTGTTTTTCTTGAAGAACAGCGGACACATGCCCAGGAGGCAGCCCAGCGTCACCCCAAGGACTCGGCCGAAGTTAGCAGAGTTCCTGGAACAGCTCATGTCCAACTGGATCGGTGACAGCCTCGGCGGTGTGAAACCGATCCTGTTGGCCAATCTCTCGACGTAGAAGGCCGTACCTATGCCCAGGATGTCGGAAAGGGTGTTTCCCAAAGCAGCTGCGCCCATGGTGGTCAGGCAGAAGTAGGAGCCTAAGTACAAGTCGATGTAGTCGCCCTGGAAATTGGATGATTAGTAACGGTTGGTTTTTCAGTGGGGCGACTTACGAAGATAAGCATGAAGAAGTTGTCCAAGAACCCGAAGCCGATGAAGGGGATGGAGTTGGCGATGGCGACTGAAAACGATCGGTTAAAGCGATTTGATAACACAGCCACAAAAAAAAAAGAAAAGTTGTCTGTACTTTTCATGCGACATATGGTATCCGCAAAATTTTTGCCTACTGATCACGATTCCGGTGTCAGAATTGAGCTATCACATCACAGGAATTTCCTAACCTCAAAAAACAGGTCAAAAATAGCAAAAATTCATGAAAAAGTGATTGGAAAAACACAAAAATTTTATTTTTCTATATTCAAATGTTCATTTATATATATTTATATAGTTAAGACTCCGCCCAACGAGAATCCGCGGTCAGAATTAATGGTTCTTTTTCTAACCTCAAAAAAACGGGTCAATTAATGACAGATATCACGAATTTTCAAACAATCACAGATTCGCGCCATATTTCGTATACGGGGGTTTTCTGGGTCGCTGATCACGGATCCGAGGCCAATTTTGCAAAATTCAAGATGGCGGACCAAATTTTCAAAAAATAACAGAATCGCAGCAAGTTTTGTATACGGGGGTTTTTTGGGTCGCTGATTACGTATTCGAAGTCAGAATTGCGAAATTAATTTCGTAATATTTTACTTTATAACCTGAGTACCCAATCATGTGTTATTCTACTTTTTTTCGGCTATAACTTGTTCTTTTTTCTGTAAAAGATCTATTCACGGATTGAATTTTGTAAATCTGATCTCGAATTCGTGATCAGTGACCTCGAAAACCCCCGTATACCAAATTTGGTGCGAATGTGTTATTTTTGGAAAACTTGGTCGGCCGCCATCTTGAATTTTGAAAAATTGACCTCGAATTCGTGATCAGCGACCCCGAAAACTCTCTTCTCCCGAATTTGATGCGAATCTATCATTTTTTGAAAATTTGGTCGGCCATCTTGGATCCGCCATCTTGAATTTTGAAAAATTGACCTCAGATTCGTGATCAACGACCCCGAAAACCCCCGTGTACTAAATTTGGCGCGAATTTGTTATTTTTTGAAAATTCGTGATATCTTACCTGAATTGACCCGTTTTTTTTTTGAGGTTAGAAAAAGAACAATCAATTCTGACCGCTAATTCACATTCGGCGGAGCGTTAACTATATAAATGAACATTTGAATATAGAAAAAAAAATGTTTCTATTTTTCCTAGCACTTTTTCGTGAATTTTTGCTATTTTTGACCTGTTTTTTGTGGTTAAGAAATTTCTGTGATGTGATAACTTAATTCTGACACCGGATTCGTGATCAGGAGGCAAAATTCTGCGGATAACCATGGGGGGGAGCAGGGGTGTGCACGGCCCACTCCAGAAAGCCCGGTGCCCACCCCAGAAAAAAGATCTAATATTATCGTCTATCATTTCGGCATGTCGGTAAGTCGCTGACTACGTGACTTTTTTTTAGAATGAACTGTGTTCAGGTTTTTATAATTTTATTCGGCAAGTTGCTTACTGCGAGAGCTTTTTTTTAGAGGCTCCATAGAGCTTGCAGCCCTGGGCTTACCCCAAGCAAAAATTCTAGCTACGCCCATGCGAATAACATATGTCGCATGAAAAGTACATACTACTTTTTTTTGTGTGTGGCTGTGAATATTAAGGACATGCATTTTAGATAAAGGTTATAATGAGACAAGTTCGTTGTTAGAAACTCTAAACGATAGAAACTATAAATTAGATTTCTTTCCGTTTTTTAAATTATTATAATTATTGATGTACTGGATTTTTTGTAATACTATTTTCTCTAAGTTCACCTTTGAATATTGCTACTAGATACATTGGTTTTATAAGTCAGTCCTGTATATCTAATACTAATTGTAAAACATTATGAAGCAAAGTTTAATTGTGAAATACTGTGTCAATCGATTTTTTTATTAAGAATCATTTAAATTATTACTATAGTAAAAAAAATACTCGATTGATTTGACAATTTGTTTATATTTTACAGTTTATATCCACCAGAGTTCTTGTATGTCTCGCTCTCGGGAAGGAACTACTTTTCTTAAGCTTTAATTTTCTACGAAAATTTCCGAGCAATGTTATCAAAATATAGAAGTGCCCAAAATTAATTTGGACCCACTGGAATCCATTATTTCCAACGGGTTTTCTTCTAATATAAATATCTTATGTGTTTTCTTCCAATAACATAATTAATTTTGTTATGGATTACAGTTTATTTTATATCTAGGAATCAAAATATTTAAAATGTACCACTTTCAACTCTAAAAACACAGCTAGAATAATAGTCCAGGCGATAGAGCAGTAAAAGTAGGCTTTGGCGGTTGTGTTTGATGTCAACTATTTTGTACAAAAATATCCCAAATATTATGTAGAATAAGAATCCGAGTTTACCTATTGCAAAAACCATTGCTCTAAATTCAGGGGAACAACAAACATACAAAAAGAACGAAAAATGACCCGTTTTCGACATATTTTTCCATGTAACATTGAAAGTAAGCCCTAAATCAATAAAAGTCATGTCAAATTTAAAAAAAAAATCTAAATGATTATAAAAGTGTAAAAATAGGTAATTTTAGTATCGATCATTGTTTATTATGACAAGTATCTCTAAAAAAATGGTTTGCCCTTTATAAACCTAAATTTAAACCCACGGTACGCGAAATTTTCTTAATTAACAATCCTCCCAATCGAAAACCACGCGAATGATCGTTGCAAAATTGTAAACATTGACATATGTTTTACTATTTGTTCACAAAGTTTCATCAATATTTATAAATATTTACTTATTTTAAAAGTTGCTCCAAATATACATATGATTTTCTACTATTTTTCGCCCACTATTAACGCAAATTCAAATTTTTTTTGTTGTAACTTTATAGAAAATCGTCAAAAAAATAAGGAATGAATTTTTTTGATTTAGAGCTTACTTTAAATGTTACAGGGAAAAATATGTCGAAAAACATGTAATTTTTCGTTCTTTTTGTATATTTGTTGTTCCCCTGAATTTAGCAATAGTTTTTTTGGAATAGACAAACTCGGATTCTTATTCTACATAATATTTGGGATTTTTCCATACAACAAAATAGATGATTTCAAATGCAAACGCCTCGAATGCTCTAGCGCCTGGACTATAAATCCAACATTCATTTACGTGTATAGCTTCAACAGGGATCTGGCTAGCAAATATAAAATTTGCNTTTAATTTTCTACGAAAATTTCCGAGCAATGTTATCAAAATATAGAAGTGCCCAAAATTAATTTGGACCCACTGGAATCCATTATTTCCAACGGGATTTTCGATATATTTTTCCATGATACATTGAAAGTAAGCCCTTAATCAATAAAAGTCATGTCAAATTTAAAAAAAAATCTAAATGATTATAAAAGTGTAAAAATAGGTATTTTTAGTATTGATCATTGTTTATTATGACAACAAGTATCTCTAAAAAATGGTTTGCCCTTTCTAAACCTAAATTTAAACCCACGGTACGCGATAAACTTTTTGAAATTTTCTTAATTAACAATCCTGCCAATCGAAAACCACGCGATTGATCGTTCCAAATTTTTTTGGGTAGAATTGACATATGTTTTACTATTTGTTCACAAAGTTTCATCAATATTTATAAATATTTACTTATTTTACAAGTTGCTCCAAATATACATATGATTTTCTACTATTTTTCGCTTACTATTAACGCAAATTCAAATTTTTTTTGTTGTAACTTTATAGAAAATCGTCAAATAAATAAAAAATAAGGAATGAATTTTTTTGATTTAGGGCTTACTTTAAATGTTGCAGGGAAAAATATGTTGAAAAACATGTAAGTTTTCGTTCTTTTTGTATGTTTGTTGTTCCCCTGAATTTAGCAATAGTTTTTTGGAATAGACAAACCCGGATTCTTATTCTACATAATATTTGGGATTTTTCCATACAACAAAATAGATGATTTCAAATGCAAACGCCTCGAATGCTCTAGCGCCTGGACTATAAATCCAACATTCATTTACGTGTATAGCTTCAACAGGGATCTGGCTAGCAAATATAAAATTTGCAAAAAGACAATAACCGTCCGTAACAGACAAAAATAAGCCCTAGGCAACCATTTAATTCCTCTATTTTTGACGAAAAAACCCCTGGTGCTATTTTCGGCTCGTTTACGCGAATTTTACAGGAAAACTCCCGGAGACGACATCCATGTCCAGGTTCCAGTGCACCAGGTGTCCGGGGGTGCTCGTCGATGCCAGATTAGGAATCAGCGACCCGAAAAACCCCCGGATGTCAAGTCTCGTTGCATTTAAGGGTGAAATTCAGGAGAAGCCTCGGAGATGACGTTCATCATCAATCCTAAGCTCCGGGTCGGCGATGGACCAATTTGAAGGTCATATTCGGGATCAGCGACCTCGAAAACCTCCAGGACCCTGATTTGAGTCCATTCCGGGCATTATTAACCGAGTTATGAATTTTTTCTAAGTGACTTTAAAAAATGCATTTTTCCGGATCGATCAATTTGGTCGAAAAATATAATACAAAGTTGCTAAATTTTTTTCACATAATTTTAGAAACTGAATGCAAAAAAACCCATCTTGATACCTGATCGAAAAATTTCGGAGGTTCAGTGCTTTATTTCCTCGACTAAAAGTAAACGTATCAACAACATAAATTTAACCCACGCGTAGAGACGGCGACAAAAAAATGCCAGGAGCCCTTTCGTTTGCCTTGTAACTTACATTAGACAAGTTTTTGGAGTTCGATATAACAACGATTAAAGCGATACAGTGACATATTCTAGTTATCATTTGCATTTGGGAATTTAGATGGAAACGATTTATGTGTACGAGCTGTTAATCTCCGACAGCCAGACCCATATCGAAATTGAGTTTTTGTGCTGAAGGATTTCCTTAGGGTTTACACCAACGCCAACGCATTCTAACGAGCGTTCAAATAAAAACGTGGTTCTGAAAATTTGGACGTAGGGCGTAGCGTATAGCAAATGAACTTAAACGTCATCTGTCAAAGCGCTATATCGCCGCTATCAATTTGAATATTTTCGTTTTAAA